TCAAAACCCGCCTGGATGCCACCCTGTGCCACATGCTGTAGGTGTGCCTGCTTGAGCAGGAAGGTTGGACTAGATGATCTGTAGAGGTCCCTTCCAACCTTGAATATTCTGTGATTCTGTGAATTTGGGGAACTAACGAATCAGGTGTTAGACTGAGTAGGTCTTTCCAGATACACAGGGAGCCAAGGTGGGGCTGACAGAAATGAGTGTGTTGTGGAGATGAATAAAGGTCCGGGAGATGAAGGTCATTGTGCCTGGTTTATGAAACGACCCAGTGACAGTGGCGAGAAAGTGGTGGCACTTGGACTGGTGGCAACACGCAGCAGAAGACAACTGTGCATTTCCTACACGTGAGGCTGGGCAACTCTGGTTTTTATACTGTACATAATTAAAAGGACAGTGTCATCAAGGTGTGTTTTTCCCATTTGCTGTTCTTTGGAGATCAGTGGGTTCTTTGCCATTCTGCTTGTGCTTACAAAAAATCACCTTGGTCTCTAAAACACAGTCTTCTGCTGGAAGATTGTTCCCTAGACCTCTCAGAATCTGATATAATTGTGTGGCCAGCACACATCTCCCTTGTTCTGTTTGGTAGTAACACATCCGCATTTGAGGTGTTGACACCACACTGCGATTTTGTTTCGCTACTACACGTCCAAGTCTCCCGTGTTTCACCGCGGGTTGTTATTTCTGTACCTGCTCCCCAGGCAGCCCTGGTTCCAACACTCCTGCCAGGCAGTGCAGAGTTGCCACCTCTTGACATTATCACAGCTCACACATCAGGTACAGAGCTGAAATCCAAGATCCCTAAAGTCGCACCCGAACACCCATCTCTCCCCCTGTCTTATAAACAGAAATTAAAAGACTACAGAGGAATATTGAAAAACTTTAAAGGTGCAAAAGGTGTAAATTCCAACGAGCTGGAATAAAAATCTATTTCTCCTTTAAGGTTTTGGGGTCAGAAATAGTGCCCATTCTAGTCAGCACTGCAAGGCAACACGCCAGAAGGCAGGTCCCAGCAATGTCTTCTATCAGTGTCATGAATCAAACACTCCTGCACGAGTCTCAGGTTCTCTCTACTGCATGGACATTGGAAAGAAGATGTGGGAGCACTGAACCTCTGTGCCTTGAGGTGAGCATGTCCATGGGGCATGGAGAGTCCAAAGGCAGCAACACTATGCAGGGACTTTGTCCTTTAAGGAGTCACTGGGGAGAAAATGCAGCATGCCTAGAGGCTTTCCAGGTGCAAGGCCTCTGGGGATTGTCCACACTCTCCTAAGCACCGGGTCCTTTTGTGGGGCTTGAACACTTTGCAGAGAAGAAATGCAAGCCTCTGCCCTGGGCGTCACAAGTTCTGCCCCCTGCTCAGCTCAGACAGACAACAGCCAGACGGGAAGCGAAGGCAGATCCAGACACAGGCTCTTGACAGCCATCCCAGACCGAAATCCCACCAAGAGGCTGTATCTAGAAACTAGAGGATCTCTGTGACTTTAAGACACTTCTGAACACATCAGAAATACGGCCCATAACAGAGGCCTTTGGAGCTTGTGAGGAGCTGTGCACTGAAACAGCTCATTAGCTGCCTTAAACCTTTTGAAACGACCTCTGATGAGATGAAGCCTAAAACCGAGGGCTAGATTGATTAGGTGATGGGGCTTTGAGCCATTGGTAGGCTCAAAAGTCTCCAGCGTAGGAGCTCCTGGGCTCCTACTGAGAAATGACTGCAGAATGGGCATCCCCCCGGCGCCTGGAGAGCTGCTCTGCCTCTCCCGTCGTGAAACTGGAGGCTATGCTTAAACGGGAGCGCGGGCTTCCAGAACTGAAACAGTGCGAGCGCGAAGACGAGGCGCTGCAGCCAAGGGAGAGGTGTGACGGAGCGGCACGCGGAACCGACACGGCTGGCACGGCCCTCCAGCTCATCCACGGAGCTGGATGCGGAGCCACATCCAGCCGCAGTGGCAGTGCTGCAGACCCGTGGCTGGGCGGGCGCCCCGGAGGCCTGCACATGCAGCGAGCGAGCAAACGTGGGCGGCAGGGTTGGGGGCACTGCACAAGGACGGGCTACCGATGCACCCACAGGACCGGGGCAGAGAGAGGTGCTGGGGTCTTGGGAGAGGACACACGTCCCCCTCCACGCCAAGCTGCCCAAGTGAGTCTCAATGCGCTTCCCACGTCGGGAACACAAGGGTCTGTGACGGGTGCCTCTGGAGCAATGGCTCTTCTTCAGGTGACACCCCCTATCTCTCCAGCTCCATGATCCCCCCAGCTGGGCAGGAGCTCAAGGCTGTGCTGAGCGCAAGGGCTGGAGAGCAAAGGACACTAAGAGACTGGCAGCTGTGCCTTCCAGCTCAGCTCAGCTCAGCCCAGCTCAGCACAACGATATTTGGACATGAGGGGATGTCTGAAGGAGGCTGAAACAATCGGCCTCCCGTGCCTTGTCCAAGGGATGCCAGAGGCCAGAGGGATGCCACAGACAGGACCGATTGGACTTACTACATGGACAAAGATTAGGCTGTTTCCAATACAATTTCTGCCCCTGGATCACTGTCTGCGTGTGGCCACTCCAGGCGACCAGGAGTGGGGAGCCAGGAGCACAACGCCCAGCGCTGCGTGCCGGCCCTCTCCGGCCGAGCAGGAAACCAGCATCGGCAAACTCATTCCCTCTCTACCGCTGAGAGGAAAAACAATCCCTGATTGCCTGCTGCCTCAGTTTCCCTGCATATGCAATGGAAAAAGCTGCCTCCTGGGGCTTGGGAAAGAGACAGCTTTAACGGTGAGAGAACACCAAAAACCTGGACAAGCAGAGCTTTGAAAAGGCAAAGGATGCCTAGGATTCCTGCTTCGGAAAGGCTCAAGGATATGGTGGGCGTGGCTGAAATTGCTGTCCTTGTCTGGTGCTACTAACTTACAAGATAAAACCTAAATATTCATTAAAGCAGCACTTGGCAGAAACCCCATCCTCAATTACAAAAGTCATTTCCTTTTTTTTTTTTTTTTTTTTTCAGTCTGAGGCCTTTGGGGCCTCATAATCTAATTAAATAAAGCTTTCTTGCTTTCTTCTCGCCTGCTCCCCCAGCTTCCATTGTACCAGAGAAGGCAAATATATATTTTTAATTTAGCAGAATCCCTTGCATGGTGTATCCCCTCCTGACCAGAAAAGTCAGCTCTGCTCTTCCCAGAATAGGAGAAAGATCCTTGCAAGGCTACAGGACCCAGGGCTGGCTGTGCGGGATCAGGCAGGTCCTGATTTGTATGGACTGGGATATAGAAGCTTCTCTGAGCTGGTCCAAGCCATCCAGCTACAGTCTGGATGCTGCAGAGAGGAAGAAAGGCACCACAGAGCACCCTCTCTCCATCCATACAAGGCTCTTTCTCAGAACCATGTGAAATTTTTTGGAAAAATTGTTCAATGGCTGAAAATTGCAGTTACAGGTCAGATAAATCATAATTGGATTTGTGCTGCATTTGTGCTGAAACCACTGAAGAGCATCAGCTAGACTAAAAAAGATCCCTAAAGTAAAGAAATAAAAAAAAAAAAAAGCAGCAAGGACTGATGCTCTTGCATTAACATTGCAGACCATAAATAAATACTGCATTAAAAAAAAAAACGCAGACCTTGATTTATTTTGGTATCTTACTTACTCTCCTAACTTGGAGCTGCAGTTTCTCTTCTGAGGAAGCTGGTTTTGAGTCTCCAACATCGAGTGAAAGGCCACAGGGAGACCAGGAGCTCAGCTGCATTCCCTGCAAGGAAGATACGAGATGGGCGGTGACCACGCAAGTCACCAAATCCAGCTGTGGACCCCGCAGTCTAGAAAATGCTTCACCTGGAACAGAACACCCCCATCCCATCACCCCACCCAGCTCCCCCTATGCAACGCTCACAACGTACTTAAAAACTCACCAGAGACCTCCATAGTGCTAAGCTAGAGACAAAAAAGCAGCGCGCTAAGGCTCTGCTATAGCAGGTGCCTTGGGAGATGATCCTAGGAACCAGCCCATGCTTCATGCTACTGAGGAAGGCAGAAAATGCTGGGTTGAACCCCCTACCCACCCTCCTTGAAATAAAACACCATGCATTTTCTGAGTTTCCTGCCGGTATGAAGTGTCTCAAGACAACAACAGGGCATCCTACCACACAGCCATTGCTTGGGGCTATCCAGGATGCCTGAGTGAAGAGGGGAGTGGATTGAGGAGGAGGTGAAGCAAGGTGGCACCACAGCCGGTTTGATTGGGACCACCCACAGGGGAGCTAGAAGGCTGCTTGGAGGTGTGGTCTTCCTTTCCAGAACACATTCCCACACACCCTAGGCCTAGCACCAACATGGATCCTGCCCAGGGCATGGGGAATAGCTGTTCCTTCAAAAAAAACCTAAAGCACAGTGCCCAGGCTAGCTGCCAGCTCTGTATCCTCAGCAGTTCTCTAAGACTCTAAGACTAAGCAGGCTCTCTAAGACTGACCTACACATCAGAGAGCTGAAAAATTATTAAGGAAGGATGTGGGGAATGAGAAGAACAAAAGAGGAGTGGATGACAAATAAAACGTGGTGCTGAGCGCACAGATGAGAGGAGATGTCCAACTAACGGTAGGCTGAGCCAAAAGACCAGAAAGACCAGAAAGAGCATGGAGGCCACAAGAGAGGTTCCAGGGCCTCAGCAGCACCATGAGTATCATCAGACAGTAGGCAGCTCTGTATGCTTTGGCCCTGCCTCTTACAGGTGAGGGCAATGGAGCTGCTCCAGTGACTGTGTCTCCATCCTCCTGAGCTCTCGGAGAGCAGAGTGGATGAGAGAGTCCTGGTACAGAAGGATGGGAGCAGACAAGGAACATCCAATACATTAAGGAGGCAACTTGGAAAAAAAGGTGTAGCATTTTTTCTGAAGAAGGAATCACTGGCACCCCGGCCTGAGATATGAGCAGAACTAGGTGCCGTCAATGGTCAGGAAAGGTGGACTATGGACTGTACAGAAAGGTCTCCCTATTCATCTCCTGCAGGTCCTGCAGGAAGACAGAGGGACAGCAGTGAGGATGAAGAAACCTGAGGTAGGTTTGTTCTGCTCTTTGCAAGCTCCTTTCTCCCAATGAGCTCTAACCCACAATCCACCTCCGCAAGGACACAGAGGGAATGAGGGAGGGAGCCAAGAACCGATCCTCTCCCTCTTGACTATGATGATGGCACCGTAACTGCTTGCTTGACATCCCTGTCTAGACTGACAAGGTACTTGTGCTGCCCTGATGCTGGTAGCCACTTGGAGAGCATACCATGGCCTGCTGCTGTCCAGTCACAGGATTGCTCTTCCCTTTCTCATCTTCACGTGTGTGGAGTTCTCTGCTGGGCCATGCTTTGCCTTAGAGAAGTATCCTGAGTTTCACAGGCAGAAGGCAGGACGTCTTCTGATACATGTGGCGAGTGACAGCCTGGATGCATTGTTTCTCCCATGGACCTTGACCTAGGACATCCCAGAGAAAGGTGTTTCCCTGACCAAGTTCTTCTGTCCTGTCTCCTCAACAAGGAGATGCCTCTACAGCCCAGAACTTGTCAACAAGCAAAGCTCCATGGGCCTTAAGACTTTCATGTGGCCACTTAAGCTACTGCTCATGCACTCCAGTGACACTCACGTATGATCTCAGAGCTCTCCTCAGAGGCAGTCACTCTGTTGGCACCCAACACTTTGGTGGCAGTAGCAACAATTGTCCCCAGACCAGAAACATCTTTCTTGCAACGCCATCAACCTGGGCATGTCAGCATGGCCATATGTGAATGTGTGAGCAGAGCAGGCCTTCCCAGTCCCTTACGGCAACAAGCATCAACTCCAGCACTAGCCAAAACACTTGTATTTATCTGAGAGGGCAATTTCACACATCACTCCAAAGTTTAAGAGGAACTTAGTGCTTCAATTCCTTTAAAATGGTGGCCTTACATGCTCAGTGTCATATGCCTTGGGGCAAGCACGTCATATATAAATCACTGAATCACAGAATATTCAAGGTTGTAAGGGACCTCTAGAGATCTTCTAATCCAACCTCCCTGCTCAAGCAGACACTTGAACCCAGGTGGGTTTTGAAGGCCTCCTGAGAAGGAGACTCCCCAGCCTCCCTGGGCAGCCTATTCCAGGGCTCTGTCACCCTCACAGAGAAGTTCTTCCTCACATGGAGATGGAACTGCCTGTGTTGCAAATTACACCCATTTCCCCTTGTCCTCTCACTGAACACCACTGAGATGAGCTTGGGCCCTTCCTCCCTACATTTCCCCTTCATGAACTTGTTGATCAGATCCCCTCTCAGCCTTCTCTTCTCCAAGATAAGCAGGCCCAACTCAGTCAGTCTCTCCTTGTACAACAGATGCTTCAGTCCCTTAATCATCCTTGTTGCTCTCTGCTGGACTCTCTCGAGAAGCTCCACGTCCCTCTTATAATGGGGAGCCCAGAACTGGTGCTCCAGGTGCAGCCTCACCAGAGCTGAGTAGAGGGGCAGAATCACCTCCCTTGACCTGCTGGCAACATCCTCCTGATGCAGCCAGGAGCCCATTGGCCTTCTTGGCCACGAGGGCACTGCTGCCTCCTGGTTAACTTGGTGTCAACTGGGACTCCCAGGTCCCAGAGCTGTGGAGCTGCTCTCCAGCAGGTCGACCCCTAATCTGTCCTGGTGCCTGGGGTTATTCCTCCCCAGGCGCAGGACCCTGCACTTGTCCTTGTTGAACCTCAGGAGGTTCCTCTCTGTCCAACTCTCCAGCCTGTCCAGGTCCCTCTGGATGGTAGCACAGCCCTCTGGAGTGTCAGCCACTCCACCCAGCTTGGGATCATCCGCAAATCACGACATGGGCTGAAGTCTTGTATCTTTTGCATCAACACTGGATGGAGGATCTGCACTTGGAAGTACACAGATAGGTAGGAAAATCCATGGGGCAAGAGGGCATAAAAAGCTTCACATAAGAGGGAAGTGGGAAGAGAGAGGATGGGGCCTCCAAGCAGAAGCCAAGGAGAGCAGTGTTGCACATAAAGTGGGAAGGGAGACGTACAAAGCATCAGCGGGAGAACAAAGGTGTTAGCCATCAGTAAAGGCTTCACACTCAGAGCTGGACGCAACCATAAAGCGCAACAAGGGGGATTCCTCCTCCTGAGTGCTCAGTCCTCAGCTCCACGTACGCAGTCGTGTGACAGGGTTGTGGTTGGGTGCATAACGACAAAAAAATACGGCTGCATTTTGCTTTTCCTCATATGTCAGGTCAGAAAAGAATGTCCTTGTTTTGGACATGAGAGGAGATGGTGTAAAACTGCTTGACTCCACTCCTGTCACCCAGCTATAACATGTGGCCTCAGCAAAAATTATATTCCACCAAGGCAGAGCCCATGAACTAGTACTGCTCTCCATCCTCCTCCTCCTCCTCCCACTGCAGCTATAAACAGGACCAGACCACCTCGCTACCGAACTGGCCTCGTGGCTAGAGAAGGGCCTTGCTGGCAGATCTCAGTGCTCTCTGACAACACCGTCCCTGTGGCCTTGGGGAAGCTACTTGACCACTCCAAGCCTCAGCTTCCCCAGAGAACAATACAGGTAGGTCCTGGGGAGGGCTGTGGAGCAACAGCGCGCTGAGACAGGCTGGAACTCTGGATTAATTCACAACTACCTGACTTCCAGCTTCACGGATCCAAGAGGAGCTTGAGGGAAAACCACCCACTTCATCTCTACCTGGGCCTAACTTCTAGCACGAAAGAAGAGACAAAATGAGAACCATCCATTTTGTGAGGCAGACGTCTCTTAGCCTCTGGGCTTGGCTGCCCACTTTCACACTTTGTCCATTGTTTGCTTGGACTTGTACAGGAAAAATCATGTTAAAGAAAATCCTAGCTGAATCACACACTTTGAAGCAGTTGGAATGGACAATTTGACAGGGACACGGGGATTTAACATGTCGTGTAAAAAAAAAAATATCTAATGATACTATGCTACTCTGCTGGCTAAAAATGCTATCTACTGGCATGGGAGGAATTTAAGCTGTAATACTAGCTAATATAATGCAGGCCTGGAGCTCCATGCAAATATTACCCTGATCCAACAGCTACAAAGCTCTGTTTATCCTAGTAATTAATTCTCTCCTCCGTTTAGTGATATAATTAGAGAAACACTGCCATTCTGATGGGCTTGTTTCCACCAATGCCTTTTACTATATTTACATCCCCACAATAGGCTTGGGCTTACAGAAAAGGGTGAAATTGCATTTATGAAGACAATGCCACACGCATTCCCCAAGCTTTTTACAGATGTAAACTTGGGCTCCAAATTACACATTTATTGTGTGAGCACACAATGAGCTCCAATTAAACACTGACTAAAACCAGCCTAACACCCCAAATAATGAAGATGAGCACAATAGTGTGATTTACTCTCAGCCCTTAGAGAAATACACATCTGTAACATATTACATGCTTTTCCCACAGATACACTCTTTGTGTTCTAGCTAGCCTTAGGCAGGAAAATTTCCTCCTCATACATTATGGATTTTCTTTCCCAGCTGCCAACACATTCACGTAACCAGCTGCAAGGAAAACAAATAGAATAAAACAAAACCAAGCGATATTCCTCTTGCTTAGTGATGAGCAGGTGACTGCCTGCCTGTCATGCCAAAGCTGAGGCAGGAAAATGGAAGATGAATGTGGTGAAACCCATAGAATCCTTTTCCTTTTGTCCCCCAAGGTGTGGAAGGCAGCAGGGAGGGGTGGGCATGGCACCTCTCACACCTTTTTAGAAAGTACTCCCAACCCTAGCTGTGGCGCTGGAAACTACCTGTTCTTCCTTGCAGCTTCCTCCTCCCCAGGCTGGTAGGAGGAATTCAGTGAGACACGAGCGCTAATAGCACAATTAAGGTAATAACACAGCATGGAGGGGGGCAACACACCCTTCCCCAGAGCTCGACCTCTAAATCCTGTAATACAGTATTGCTTCATTCACGACGAAAAGGAACTGCAAGGTAGCACCGAGCAGAAGAGCAGGCGGCACGGCCGGCTCTCCGGCAGCAGAGCCCTACTCCAGCCCAGATGCAGTCACCACCCCAGCTTCTCGGTACCATCTCCATGACAACCGGGTAATCGGGATGCAGCAACCACTGCTGAACTGATCTTTAGACGTAGCTTTGTTAGAAAACACCATACGGAAAATGTCAGCCTCAGCATCAAGGAAAGTAGCCCCATCCAAATGAGGGCTGTGATTAAAGAGCCTCCTTTTAATTTGGAACTGCCATACAGTCTCGCGATTTCAATGACTGCATGAATGAATGGATTTTGAAACCAGGGGCAGCGAAACACCATTTGTGAGTGTGTGTGCGAGTGTGTGTGTGTGCAGAGCACGCTGTAGTGTAACACCCCCACCAAGACACCCCACTGAGAGTTGGAAAAATGTCTCCATGTGTATTGAGAGAACGGGCATCTTCCGCATGCACCCGCACACACACACACCTATCAGAAGCAATCTGATCTCCAACAAGCGACACAGGCAGTGGATTCGCCAAATAATCCTAATAAGAATCAAAAACGACACTACCGAGCAGAATAGGATGTGAGGAAGGAGGTACCGAACAACAGACAATGAGAGCAGGGGAGCTCGTATTTGCACTTACCCGAGCAACGAGCCGCTTATTCCTTAGTCCCTTCACAAATGCAGCTCTCTTTTCTCTTCAACAATCCATGCAAAATAATCTGCAATTCCACAGGCAGAGGAGCAGCCCCATCCCCCTCTGCCACCACCTTCCCGGACTTCCCTTTTATTGGCTTCCTTTTTCTTTCCTCTCGCTCTCTCCTGCTGGAGACGGTTACACCTCCCAGCCTCCCCTTGAGGTGTCAAGAGATTGCTGGGGCTCCGGCAGGCAGGAGACGAGGGGAGGGGACGGCAGAAGGGGAGGAGGCAGGGAGGGATGGTGAACGGAGCAGCCAAGGCATGGAAGAAAAGGCCTTGCCGCGAAGCCGCACAGCCGGGGGGCCGGAGGGCTCCGCTCAGCACTCGGTGCGGGAGCACCGGGACACCGGGATCCCCGGCGGGCTGCGCGCTGTGTGCCCTGCCTCGGCGCTATGGTGTCCCCCACCTCGGCACTAATGTGTCCCCCACCTCGGCACTAAGCTCTGGCCAACAGGTCTGCTTTGGGCCAGCAAACCACCTCCCTTCAAGCACAGGCTGGCGATGCCTGCCAGGCACACATACCCTGCACACAGCACCCACGGCGAGCCTGTGCCCACACACACAGACACGCCGCGCCGCGAGCGCCCCAAGGCAGCGAGCAGCTCYGCAGGGCCCGTGTGGCGCCGGGCGCGGGTCTGGCCTGTGGGCCCCACCAGGGCAGGGCCGCAGAGCTCGCTGCAGCGCAGGCCGCCCAGCCCCGCCACCCGCCGCCGTCCCAGAGCCCGCTCAGCACTGCTGCTGCCCGTGGGCTCGGCACCATCGTGGGGCTCGGCGTGGTGCAGGGCCCCTTCCCTAGTGGTACCTGGGGCGTATTCGCGGCCCTGTCTGCTGGGAGCAGTCCGAGTCCTTCCCTTGCCCGTTTGGTGGCTGCACCAAGAGCGGGGGTCTCGTGAGCCCAGGGGCAGAGGAGACACTGGGCCTGAGGGTGTCTCGGCCCGGAGCGCACGCACTGCCAGAGCCCAGGGAGGCTCCAAGCCATTCCAGCGGGACATAGCCCCCTGAAAGGGTCTGTGACCCCTCAGACTGGGTTCTCTGGGGAGTGGTCAGGGCCCTTTGCCCCACGCTGTGAGCGCTTCCCGCTGGGACACTGCACGTTGGGAAGCGGCACAGAGCACGGCACCCCGCGGGCGGGCGACGCTCCCTTCGGGCCACACACAGCAGCCTTGGCCTGTCCCGCACGCCTCTTTCAACGGAGCCGATGGCTCCACTGCTCTCTGGACCTCCCTCTAGAGCTCTCTCTAGGCCTCTGTTTCCATTGGAAGAGCATACACACCTCCGAATAGAAAATAAACAACCCTTCAACTGAATACTGCATTATGAACTGACAAATCTCCAATGTCCTGAATTAAAAATACCATTACAATCTATCGGATTACATCCCAACACCGAAGCAAAACCATTAGATGAAATAATGTCCTCGAGCAACTTTGAGAACAGGGCTGTGGCTTCCTGTGGAAGGGACACCCCACGGCACAGCAGAGCACACGGGGTTGTGTGCCAGGGTTACTGTCTGTAATGAACCGTGTAATGAGCCACCCTGCAGCTACACTCAGGAGTTATCCAACGAACACAAGTGTGAATGAAGGTTACTCTGCTGAGGAGACACATGAACAGGTATCGTAGCCAAGCACAAGGCCAGCAAACAGCCTGGCAAATTCAGGTGTGCAATTCTTAACCTTCCTCTGGGTTCTTTTATCACAGAGACATGACTAAAGCTCTGTCATCATAAAAGTCTGTCCTGTTCCTCTCTCTGATCAATTTTAATGTATTTGTAATCAGCCATTTAACAGGTTAGGGTGCTTTAAAATAAAAAACAATATTCATCCATCTGTTGTGCTGTTTGGGTCTGAAGTAGCAAAATCCAATGTCTGTGCAGCCAGACCCAGGAAGCGACATTTTGCAGCATGAGAGAAAATGAGGTTCCACTTTCTAATACATCCACTAGCTGAAATCTAGAGAAGCAGACTATCAGTCACCTTCCTTCTGGGATTGAGTTCATAAACAGCTGGATTCACCGAGAAACCTCCTCTCATGCCTTGAACAGTGTTGCACGTTTGTCTGTCTCACAACACACTCCTAGCAATAAGTGAGTAGCAACGCTTTGCCTAGACTGCCTGCAAAGCTGTGTTAGATGCCTTAGATTGGCCATAATTATCTATTGGAATTAAAGAAAACTCTGGGACTATGGCCATTTTCCACATGCCATTTAACTGACTGGATGTGTCACATGTGAACCATGCAGATGTCATTTGCCAAGTGAGAGGCAACCTTTGGGAGAAGCCACCTTCCTTACACACATGGACCCTACCTGCCAAGCGACAACGACAGCACATGGCTGGGAGCCCTCCGGACAGCAGGGAGATGCACGCAATGCAACAAGACATAACCACCACGCGGCAAGCGTGGATGCTGACCACACGCTTTGGACCATGGACATGCACTGCCTTGGTTGGTGTGAGGGGATCAATCATCTTCACCCGACAATTAAGTGCCTTAACTGCCACTAAGACAAGGGTCTGCGTTGTAATTTTGCCATTCTGCTACAGGCAACTTTCCATCCATGCCCAAGACATGATACTCGGAGTGGCACACAAGGACGTTCCTAGATATTTCCTTTTTTTTTTTTTACAATGAAAACATTGCAAGTGTGGCGTGTGACCAGAAATGATTTTGCTTTTGTGTCCTCCCAAAATTATTTTTCACTGAAAATCTTTTGGATTTCTCCAAAAACTTACAATACAAGCAACACTGATGCAAGCCAGACTTGGAAGAAAGCAGGACCAGGACCTTCTTTGCTGTGTGCTGCTTACAGGTCGTGTAGATAAGGAGAATTGGAAGGGAATAAAACGCCTCTGAAGAGAAAGGGCTAGTAATTGTGAGCCTTTGTCTGCGTTTCTCCTGATACTCAAAAACCAGCCTTTGCTGTGGATAACAGCTTCCAGGGAAAGTTCACCCGCAGCTGTTTGCGTATTGATTGCTGGGATGTGGACAAGGCAGTTCACGTGGGGAAGAGCAGAGCTCATGGGGAGAGGTGCCACTGTGGCTCTCCTAGGGGCTGGAAGAGAAAAGATTTGCTGGCCTCACCATGGGTGGCTGGATGATGGACAGAACTGATGCCTTCAAAGTAATGATAAAAAGAAAAAATGATGAAAAAAAAAAAGAAGCTGCATGCAAAGAGCTCCTTCAGAGCGCTCAGGGCACAAGGGCCGCTACCAAGTTTGTTTAGTGGGGAAGACAGAAATGGGAGAGGGACAAGAGAAAGGGGAGTCTCCCAGAGGAGAGCCCAAGGACTGCCTGTGCTTGGTGTGCGGTCGCAACACAAATGGGGGGCTGTGGTGCTGTGACAGATTGGGAAATGAATCTGCCCAGGGCATGAATGGAGGATAAGGAGGGGGATAAAGTGTTCTTGTGGGTAAAACATGACCAGAAAGGTCTGCACCCAGTAATTTCTGCACCAAGCCAGGCTGCTGGCTGAATTACAGGCCCCTGGGGAAACCAGTGAAGCTGCAGAAGACTCCAGGCACTTCAGCCCAAGATAAACTGCCCAGTGTGGAATTGCCACGCAGGGTGAAGTGCCTCCAGCCCAAATCTCAGCTCTTTGTACAACCACTTCAGTTGGTGCCAGCTTTCAACCTCTGGTTCTTCGTACATTTGCGTTAGTCTGATGACACAGCCTTGTTACTGAAAATATTTTCTCTAGGAACCTGCACAGGCTGTGATCAATTCCCCTTGCAGCCTTCCCATGGAAATGCAAAGCAGGTGAAACTCGGTTTTTGTCTCCATGTGAGCCCGGTTTTCCACATTTTCATTCATTCTTTCAGCTCCTTGACAGCTTTCTGAGCGTGAGTACTAGCAGAGGGCTCAGAACTGAGAACCACCCCGGGCAGTGCCTAGTGCAGGGATACTCCTACCCCCTTCACCTCGGTGTATCCCTCCTCACCGGTGCAGCAGGGCACGCAGCATCCTGCCTTACCTGGTCGCGAGGCAGGAACTGTTGCTCAGCCGCTGGCGAGCACAACCACCATGGCTTTTCCCACACGTCAGCGTTCCCGGTAACTATGGGGCACTAAACCAGAGCAGTGACACCAGGGCATAYGGAGCAGGGCATATCAAGGCACTGAGGAACTGGCATTTGACAGCTCTCCTGAAGATACATTAGATTTACGGGCCACCATCCTCTCCAGTGCCCTTCTGGAAATGCCAAGCAGACCCTGCTCGCAGATGGAACCTGCTGTGCAAGGGTTAGTCACCTCTTCTGTGCAAACATGAGCAGTCTCGGTGTGTTCTGGAGGTACCTGCACCMCTGCCTGACAGCTGTATTTCTGCCAGGGAATCAGACAGGAACCTATCMCACTGCTGTCTTCCAGAGCCAGGAATCGTTGGCTGGGCACTTCTTTCTTTGCAACATCACAACAGACTTTTACCATTGTCATCTAACAAGAACTTATAGCACCGATTTACCTCCTGGCATATACACATACAGATAAATGCATACACATATTCTCCTATTGTCTGCAATGCTAGTAAACATAATTTTCACTTTAGAATCTGAATGCTCTTACCAACTTTCACTTAAAAGAAAACTTTCAGTTTTCTGCATTACAACAGTGTTAAACATCAACCTTCTTTTACTGTTTGGGATTTTAAAATACTATTGCTTGGTTTTGCTTTCCTTAATAAGGATAGATGCTTAGCTAAGAATGCTTCGATGACTGCAGAACTGTATGCAGCCTGCGGAGGAAACGGCACGTATCAGTGCTGTCTTGAGCAACTCTCAACTATAACACACATTATTTTGCTTCCTTTTTTTCCTCCAAACATTTCTTGCTTGTAAATTGTTCTCATCTTAGGAAAATTGACCCCTTTAAAGTGCCATGTGTATGTTCTATCATTTAGAATTACACTCTATCTGCTTGTAACAAATGCAATTAGGTCATTTAAGCAACCATTAATTCTGAGTTCAGTAATCAATTCACACTGATCTGTCAGAGTAAGGTCTGATACAGAATTATACTAAGTCCCCTGCAATATTTGGTAACAGAAAATTATAATCCATCATTTTTAGAAGCTCT